TTCCCCTAATAAAGGCTTGTTGTGGCCTGGTCTGGTCTTTGTTTTCGGCCCTTTTACCTGACAGGAAGAAAAAAGGAAAAGCTAAGGGGCACGGCTTTGGGCAAAATGATTCATGGGTAGAGGCCCCTGTAGGGCCTACAGTCAAGGCCCGTAATCTAGCAGTACCCTTGAAAAATAATCCCCCCATCTTTTTTTTTCTGGTACTGGGGATCAAACCCATAACCTTGTGCTTTCAAGGCAGGCACAGTGCCACTAAGCTAAATCCCTGCCCCCAACCCTTTTTTTTGAGACAGGGCCTCACTATGTAGTTCGGGCTGGCCTCGAATTTGGAGCAATCCTCCTGCCTCATCCTCCTGAGTGCTGGGATTAAGCATGTACCACCACACCTGGATAATAAGTCCTCTTTTCCTGAAGGGAAATCTGGGCAACATACAGTGCCTACCACACTCTTATTCTCAGTGTCTGTCTCAGGAAAGGGCACAGATATAACTTGGTGTCCCGTGGCCAATGAGTCCTTAAGAACAGGGCTCTTGCACAGCTAGTAGTAAGAGGGGTGAGAGCTACATAGTTCTTGAAATTTTCCAGGCTTTGGAACTCCTGAAATTTATTGTTGAGGCTTCCAGGCTACTGGAAAGTGAGTAGGAGAATGGAAAAATGGAAGGGGAGGTGGCTGTTTAAAGATCTGAGTCTTCTGCCACTGTGGCAAATTGGGTGTCAGGCGTGCCGAGTGGTTGTCAGAGGGGCAATATGGGCTGCTGGTTGGAATAGGTAACTTCCTAATTTGGAGTGATTTTACTTAGCATCATCCTCTTGGATACTTATGTTCTGGGTGTCAAAAAACCCGTATAGCGGGGCGTGGTGGAGCACGCCTGTAATCCCAGCACTTGGGAGGCTGAGGCAGGAGAATCATGCAAGTTTGAGGCCAGCCTGGGCTACATAGTGAGTTCAAGTGACTGGGTCTCTGTTGCACCCTGCAGAGCATGAAGTCTCCTTACGCCCTGCGTGCTTGCTGTCACAACAGAATGAGCCCAGCGCCGTCCTGCTCTCTGGCTTCCTCTCCAGGTGTGAGCTTTTGCTTTTCTGCATGTCACTTGCTGATCTCTCACCTCTTCTCTCTGTGAGGCCATCCATCATGTGTGTTTGGCCTCACTGAAGCCGAACAGCTGGGCCTGCCTGGCTGTGGACATTTAGCCTCCAAAGCTTTTCTTTATATTGAACCCAGCATCACATGTTCTGGGATAGCAACACAAACCCCTCTGGAAACCCCACCATCAAATACTTGTTTCCCCCACCCAAAACTTCCCTCCATCTATCTTCTCTCACTTCCTCTACACAACCTCGGAAAAACAAAAGCCATGGGCTGTTCTTCCTTTTAGTTTAGTTTTTCTTTTTTCTCTTTTGTTCTGAGACAGTCAGCAAGATACTGAAGTAGGAAGGCAGCCCCATTAAAGGACATTTCAGTACTTGAAGGGTACTCTTGAAATAAAGAATATTTCCTTCTTACCCAGAACTTCTGAGCCTGTCCCTACAGAGGACCAGGACTTCTTTTTTTGAGTGTTCTAGAATTTGTCTACCACTCACTTCTTAGTATTTTGGCAAAAGCATTAAGTTTAGACAGCAGCTCTACCCTAAAATGCACTGAAAGCCTTTGACCACTGCCTTAACACCTGCCCTGTGGGAAGAAGGCATGAAGGCTGGGGAGCACTGTGGTTTTCTAACTGTGAGCATGTGAGGTGTGTGTCCCAGGTGGGGAAGGAGTGGCAAGAAAATCACTCCTAGTGTCAAATCTTTCTCACCAGCTGGAGGCTGGGGAGTTGCAGAAACTCATTTCCCAATCCATTTCGGCTTCGTTGGCTACTGTGCCCTTGTGCACCAACTGAGTCAAGCATTGGGTTAGAGGAAAACCAGTCCTGGAGTTCAGATCCAGTCGAATTTCTCTAGGAAATGGAGCAGAAGTCTTCCCCTCCATGAGCACTTGAAGAATGCAGTCATAGACAATAAAATTTAAAACCTGTGCAATTTTTCAGTACAAATAATTGTGATTTATCTTGGAGCTTTTTTTCTTGTTTTTTGAGACAAGGTCTCCATATGTAGGCCAGGCTGGCCTCGAATTTGCAGTGATTGTCCTGCCTCAGCCTCCCAAGTGCTGGGATTACAAGTATGCACCACCACACCCAGCCTTTTTTTTTTTTCTTTTGCATGTTCCTCCCAGATACTAGGGTGGGCAAATTATCGTCCTTGGACCATATTTGGTTCACCACCATTTTGGGGGTAAAACTCTGTAAGCTAAAAGTATTTCCTTACCGGGTGTGGTGGTGCATGCCTGTAATACTAGCACTCAGGAGGCTGAGGCAGGAGGATAGTGGTGAATGAGGCCAGCCTGGGCTACATAGTGAGTTCAAGGACAGCCTGAACTATGTAGCAAGACCCTGTCTCAAGAAACAAAAAAAAAAAATTAAAAAAATCCCCAAACAAAAAAATAAAATAGGTATGATTGATTACTGTGTCGAAGAATTAAAAAAGCAAAAGGGAGAATTTGGAGAAAGAACCAGAAACTCGTAAAAGAAAATTTTAATGTCAAGGAAAGTTAGGATTGTTCTAATCATAGGAATACAGATAGAAGCAAAGGGTTTAGAGCAGAGTCTGTGGTGTGCTTGCTTTTATCTGGATCGATGTTCATTTCCGAACTTTGGGAGGATGGTGAAAGAGGACCAGCTGGGCATGGAGGCACACACCTGTCATGTCAGCACTCAGGGAGGCTGAGGCAGGAGGATCAAAAGTTTGACCCCAGTCTGGTCAATTTAGTAAAACCTTGTCTCAAACCAAAAAACCAGAAGACTGAGTATGTCTCAGCGCTGAGGCTCCAAGTTCCGTCTCCAGTACTGGGCGGAGGGGGCAACCCACAGAGTTGATATCATTACGACAGGACCCAGTGGGAGGTGTTATTCAGATCTCCCAGAAACCAGGACCCAGGCGCCCTGGTGGTGAGGAGGAGGTGGTGAAGAGTGGGTGGGAGGTCTGGCGCTATCAGGTCAGCCCACAGTGACTGTTCAGCCAGGGCTGACCCTGTGATCCCCGAGCAGCCGCCTCTCCTGCCTCAGTTAGCAGCCCTAGGGACATCCCTGTTACTGGCCTTGGCCTTGGCAGACGGTCTTCCCACGCGCTCCAGCTGCCTATGCCTGATCCAGGATGAAGGTCACCAGCCTGTGTCCTGAAACAGAGCGGTTCCCAGATGAAATTGTGCGTGTGCCTCTCCCTCGCCCCTCAGCAATCCGGAATGCTTGTTAGGACTGAACCAGGCGGTCAGAGCTTTCCCACGCAGGAGCGGGGCTTGGTGTGGAAGGGAACGCCTCAGCCTGGCACTTAGGTAGGCGGACAAAGGTCAGATCCAGTCCTTGAACCTGGACAGGCTAACATTTCTCACAGCCACTAGTCTCCAAAGAAGCTAAGCCTTGGAGCTACTTCCCAGTCGGAAAACAAGCATTTATTTATGTAGGAAACTAGTGACCGTGGCTGTGCGCGCGCATGCGTGGCGTGTGGATGGGTCCCCGCTCCCCTGGCCCAGCTCTCTGACCTCTGACACACCCGACCCGACTTCCATTCTCACTGCGCTTTCACTGCCCCTCCGGCTTTCTGTCCGTGTCCTCCACGCAGCCGCCCCGTAGGATGGAACAGCACAGCAGTCTCTCACCGGCACCCTCAGCCCGCAGACTCCCCTTTCTGCTCTTCCTATCTGGCTGAAGCCCAGCCTCAGGTGATCACAGTCCCCCAACCCCCTCGCCCCCTTCTCCTGCACCAGGTGGCTGGGGAAAGGGAGCCAAGGATACCTGAGTCGCCATGATCCCGTCCTCACAGGCGTCCGTGGTGTCTGGCCCTCCTTCATGTTTCTCTAGTGATCGTGTCTATCTTTTTGTACAATAACTGTTTTGTAACTTTGCAGATGTCTTCATGTCTCTGATTCCTCTGGCTCCACACTACCCACTCTCATCTAATGATTTTACCTTCTGTTTAGCGGCCAGCCAGACATAAAATTTCCTTGTTTTGTTACAACAAGTTATAAACTTACTTGATCTCTAGCCATGCTCTCCCTTTCCCTTCCCGCTATGTCCTAGAAGCCGAAGCAAGCACCTAACTGTGCGGTGTGTATTTACCCTTGCCCCGTTTTACAGATGATGAAACAGGTACAGAGATTTAGGGAGCTTGCTAAAGATCACAAGTCCAGTTCCCAACACAGGAAGCATTCCTTCTTCTACAAAGGGCTGGTACTCTATTTATTTTAAAATCTTATCGGCACATTTTATTTTGTTTTTAGTTTTAGGAAATGTAGATGTTTAAGCACTCATTACCTATTTGATATTTTATGTTATTGATATTTCCTTTTGCTGGTAAGTGCACTTTGTATAATATAATAGGAAGCTCCCGACAAAAGGAAGACAAGAGAGGTGAAAAGCATGCCCGCCACACAGGAAAGGAAAGCTGAGCACACGTGCTGTCAGTGTGAGCGAGACTTGTGTATGGAACAGTTGTGAAGACTGCCTTAGGTGTGATAATTGAAGTAAAGATGATTTCTTTACTAAAGTTATTTGTATTCTCATTGTAGTTCACATAGGAATTTATTTCTGTTCTTAGTTTTTAGATTTTTTTTGAAGCAGAACATTGATTGGTACATTTTAGATACACATGATAATATTCATCATGGGGAATTTGTACCTGCACATGATATATGTTGCTTCTTTTTATTCCCATTCCCCTTCCCTTGCTTCAACCCCTCTTCCCCTCCTTATTTACAAAAGCTTTGTTTTCCTTTCTAGTCTCTTTTTTTTTTCTTGTCAAAGAGCTGTTACTTTAAATTGCTCTGATCTCATCCCATTCATTCTACTCAGAGGTCTACTCAGAGATATTAGGTATCTCCCCTCTCTCAGCTAATATTAAGTTCCAGGAGTGGCAGGAAGCTGTAAATAACAGCAACTTTAAACAAGGTCAAAGTGTTTCTTGTAGACGTAGCCCATCTGGGCCTTCTGTAACAATGGGAGGATCACCAGGGATCCACACTGCTTTTATTTTGCCCACTCTCTTCAAAATGTGGATTTACCCGTGGCTCATCTTGCAGCCATCTATATTCTGGCCAGCAGGGAGGAGGAATGAACAGAACAAGAGCAGGGACTTTGCCTTTAAGGACATCTTCCAAAAGTTGTGCACAACATTTATGCTTCTGTTTCCAGGGCTAGAATTTGGTCACATTGTTCCACAAAGTTACAAGGCATGGGGAGAAATGTCATTTTGTTCCAAGAGGCCTCTTACTCAGTTAAAATTCATAGATTCTTTTACCATACAAGATGCAGAATGGTTATTAGAGGGCAATAATAGTCCTAGCTACAATCGGCTTCTCTGTCATCTTCAACTTCTCCTACTTAATTTGAAAACTCAATCAAGACTCCATTGTTTTGCTTTGTTTGTAGTTCAGGCTGTCCTTGAACTCACTATGTAGCCCAGGCTGGCTCTGAATTCACAGTGATCCTCCTGCCTCAGCCTCCTGAGTACTAGGCTTACCGGCATGCACCACCATGCCCAGTTTTCCTTCTTTTTTGACAGTTTCACTATGTAGTCAATGCTGGCCTTGGACTCATGGAACCCAGGATGGCCTTGATGTTCTCTCTTCTTTTTATGATTTTATGTATGTATGTATTTAAGCTCCATCTTCAAAAATCAAAATGAGATCAGGCATGGTGGTGCATGTCTATAATCCTACTGTAGCACTCTGTGAGGCTAAGGCAGGAAGATTTTGAGTTCCAGCCCAGTCTGGAAAACTTAGTGATTAGCATGACTATCTCAAAACAAAATATAAAAAATGGTGGGGGATGTAGCACAATGCAAGAGCCCTGGGTTCAAACTCCAGTACTGGGAAAAAACCCCCCAAAACCCCCAAATTAAAATGAGGTGAACCAACACAGAACAACTGTACACCTTCCCCTAACCTGGCCTCTTTCACTACTCCTGCTTCTGTGCTTTCTTCAAAGGCAGTGTCTCAAAATTGATATCCCCGCATGCTGTCTCCATTTCCTTCCTTATGCTCATTTTGACTTCCTCTCATCTACCAAAATGGCTGTGGTGCTTATGCCCGCCACAGAGACAGACAAGGGGCACGATTTCAGTGCTCCTCCTCCGGATCTGCTGGCAAAATTGGGCACACTCAGAGCTTCTCGGCCCTTCCACCTCTCTCCTCTTGGCCTCCCTGACTCCCCACTCCCGCTCCCCATCTCTCAGCCACATAACCTCCACTCCCTGCTTGTGACCCACAGGAAGCCAGTGTGTATGGCAGGGCAGGGCCCACCATCACCAGGTGCCCTGTGCTCCTCACCCTCTGCCTCATTCAGCTGCTCTGTGCACCCATGCATGCCCCTTCCTGGCGGGGGAAGAGCTTGGGGTTACATCTGTCTGGTCACCCCAGCTGTGCATCTGTGGGTGGCTCAGGGTGCACAAAGAAATCTGCGCTGATTTAGAAACCTCGCAGTTCTACTTTCAGCTTCAAATAGCACCAAAAGATCTGGATCCTATTTCTGCCCCAGTTCCTGGGTTGCCCTCTTTTATGTTGGCCTTAGAACAGTGAACTCTGGCATAACCTGAAATACCCTTGAATTTTGTCCTGGTGTCTGTAGGGGATTTCCTTTTAAGCAGGGCACTCAATTTGGTAATTTCAGTCCCAATCATTTAAAGGGCTAAGGAAGTCTAAAGCAAGATATTTCCCATAACTGAG